AGTCAGGGGAGGGGGCACGGGCCGGAGGGAATATTATGAGATCAGTTTTGGAAAGATTGAGTTTGAGGAAGTGGAGTGACATCCATGATGATATGTCACTTAGTAGGTTAGTAATGCGAGAGGAGACTGAAGGGGTGAGGTGAGGGGTAGAGAGATAGATTTGTGTGTCATCAGCATAGAGATGGTACTTAAAGCCATGGAAGTTTATCAAGTGACCAAGGGAGGAGGTGTAGATGGAGACGAGAAGGGGTCCAAGGACAGAACCTTGAGGGACCCCTATAGAAAGAGGGAGTGGAGAGGAGGAGACAGAGTTATAGGTAACACTGCAGGAGTGCTTTGATAGGTAGGCAGAGAACAAAGAGAGAGCAGAGGGGTTTTTTTTCAGAAGGAGGGGATGGTCCACATTATAGGCCACAGAGAGGTCTAATAGTAAGCATTTGGAGTAGTGACCATTGGTTGGGATGAGAATGGAGTAGTGGCCATTGGTTGGGATGAGTACGGAGTAGTGGCCATTGGTTTTGGCAGTTAGTAGATCATTTGTGAGTTTTAGTAGGGCAGTTTCAGTGGAGTGGAGTGGAGTGAAAACCAGACTGTAAAGGATCAAGAAGGTTGTTGTTGGTGAGGTGGGAGCTCAGGCGATTGTAGGCTAAGCATTCTAAGAGTTTGGAGGTAAACGGGAGCAGGGGGACGGGTCTTAAGCTGTTCAGATTGGTGGGGTCCAGGGAGGGCTTTTTAAGTATGGGGGTGACCAGTACATGCTTTAGAGGGGAAGGGAAGGTGCCAGTAGAGAGGAAGAGATTGAAGATGTGAGTGAGGGAGCATAGGATGGAAGAAGAGGGTGACTGTAGTAGTTGTGAGGGGAGGCAGGATCCAGGGGACAGGTGGTGAGGCGGTCTTCTGAGAAAACTTTAGTGACCTCTTCGGTAGTAGCCAGGTCAAAAGAGGAAAGTGCTGGCTTTGTATAGAGTGTGCTAAGTGGGATAGATGTCTGTACAGTGGAGATGTCCCTACGAATTGCATCAATCTTGTTTTTGAAATTATTGGCACTTTCATGAGCAGCGAGTGAGTTATAGGGTGGGGGTGGGGGTGGAGAAAGTAGGAAGTAAAAAGTAGAGAAGAGACAAGAACTGGATGACAAGATATTGATGAGAGTGACAAAGTAGGCTTGTTTGGCAGCATGGAGGGAGGAATTGTATGTTAAGAAAGCAGATTTATGTCAGGTGAATGCTTGGTGAGATTTGGTTTTATGCCACAATCACTCCACTGCACAGCTATGTCTTTTAAGATTTCTGGTGTCATTGGTCTGCCACGGATTTAATGGTCGGAGCTTGATACTTCATGTAGTTAGAGGAGCAAGTGAGTCCAGTGTGGACTGTTATAGACAAAGGTGGCCAGGTCAAGGCAAGTCAGGGGGGAAAATCTGTCATAGAGGTGGTCAGTATCAGAGTAGAAAAGAGAAGGGTTATAGTGGCGCAGGTTATTGGTAATTGTTTGCTGCTTGGAGAGATAGGTGATTGAAGATGAGGACATTATGAAGGTGATGAGGTTGTGATTATGCAGGGGAAAGAAGGTGTTGGTGAGGTTGTAGGTAGTGCAAAGGCGAGAAAAAACAAGATCTAGAGTACTTGTGAGTGGAGGACTGTGTCCATTGTGTTAGGGCCAAAGATGAAAAAGTTGGGATGTAGCTGGGTTGTTCACATTAATGGGGATGTTAAAATCTCCAAGAATGATAGTGGGTATTTCAGAGGAGAGAAAGTAGGGAAGCCAGGCAGAGAAGTCATCAAGAAGGTGTGACATTGATCCAAGAGGCCTATAGATCACTGCAATTCTTAGAGAAATGGGAAAAACAGACAAATACAGTGAGTCTCAAAAGAAGAGACATATAGAGAGGGAAGGGTAGGAGGTTTAAAGGTGCTCAGTGTGAATAGAAGCAAACCAATTTCACCTCTTTTCCAACCACTGGGTCTGGGTGAGTGGGTCCAGATGAGGCCTCCATCGGAGAGGGCCGCGGGAGAGGCAGATTCTGCTGCTTGAAACCAGGCTTCTGTAATTGCTAGTAGGTTAAATGTGTGGGAGACAAAAAGGTCATGGACAGAGGTGAGCTTATTACAGACAGAGTGGTCATTCCAGAAAGCACATGAAAAAGGGGGGGGGGGTAGGAAGCAAGTAGATTGTTGCTATTGCTGGAGGAAGGAGGGTGTCTGGTGTGGGGGTGAGATACTAGAGGACAAGGATTAGGGGAGATATCCCCAGAGGTTAGGAGAAGGAGGGTGCCTGGTGTGGGGGTGAGATACTGGAGGACCAGGGTTTGGGTAGATATCCGCAGAAGTTTGGAGAAGAAAGAGGGTGCCTGGTGTGGGGGTGAGATACTGGAGGACCAGGGTTTGGGTCAGGGGCGGACTGACCATTTGGAAACTTGGGCACTGCCCGGGGGCCCGGGGTCAGTAGGGGGCCCCATGAGATGCCCCTGGTACCTTTTTCATAGGCTTTTTTGAGTTTGGGCAAGGACACAGGGGCCCCATGATCACCTATTGCCCGGGGGCCCCATGAGTTGTCAGTCCACCCCTGGTTTGGGTAGATATCCCCAGAAGTTTGGAGAAGAAGGAGGGTGCCTGGTGTGGGGTTGAGATACTGGAGGACCAGGTTTAAGGGAGATATCCCCAGAGTTTAGGGAGAAGAATGAGGGTGCCTGGTGTGGGGGTGAGATACTAGAGGACAAGGATTAGGGGAGATATCCCCAGAGGTTAGGAGAAGAAGGAGGGTGCCTGGTGTGGGGTTGAGATACTGGAGGACCAGGTTTAAGGGAGATATCCCCAGAGTTTAGGAGAAGAATGAGGGTGCCTGGTGTGGGGGTGAGATACTAGAGGACAAGGATTAGGGGAGATATCCCCAGAGGTTAGGAGAAGAAGGAGGGTGCCTGGTGTGGGGTTGAGATACTGGAGGACCAGGTTTAAGGGAGATATCCCCAGAGTTTAGGAGAAGAAGGAGGGTGCCTGGTGTGGGGGTGAGATACTAGAGGACAAGGATTAGGGGAGATATCCCCAGAGGTTAGGAGAAGAAGGAGGGTGCCTGGTGTGGGGTTGAGATACTGGAGGACTAGGATTAAGGGAGATATCCCCAGAGTTTAAGAGAGAAGGAGGGTGCCTGGTGTGGGGATGAGATACTAGAGGACAAGGATAAGGGGAGATATCCCTAGAGGTTAGGAGAAGGAGGGTGCCTGGTGTGGGTTTGAGATACTGGAGGACCAGGATTAGGGGACATATCCCCAGAGGTTAAGAGAGAAGGAGGGTGCCTGGTGTGGGGATGAGATACTAGAGGACAAGGATTAGGGGAGATATCCCCAGAGGTTAGGAGAAGAAGGAGGGTGTTTGGTGTGGGTGAGATACTGGAGGACCAGGGTTTGGGAAGATATCCCTAGAGGTTAGGAAAATAGGGTGAGGTAAGTAAGATGGGAGTGGGATGTATATGAGTGCACATACTTCCCTGTCCTGGTGTTTGGGTCAGCATGTGGTTAAGTATTAGCAGGAGGTGATGAGACCAGTAGTAGGCAGATGGTAGAAGTGAGGGTGCTATGTACAAGCTTTGGGGTGGAGATGAGGGGTAAAGAAATGAAATTTTGAGAACAGAGGATAGTAATATGAGAAGGAGGAGTAGAGCGGACATATTAAAGTGTAGATGGAGTGGGAATCAGACTTGTGGGAATGCTGGTTTGCTTGTGGTCAGTCCAGAGTGGAGCTCCTTATTGTATCTTCTTGCTGCTTTAGTTCATCTGCTGAACACTCGTGCACAAAAACCACTCACGCCGGACAAGATGCCCCGTCTGTGACTTCCCCCATAAACTGATCTAAATTTATAAGGAGATGATCAAATGGGGAATACTTCTCCGCCCCAATGAGGAACTAATAAGGAACACATGAATTGGGGGGTGGGAGAAACGAGACCAGCCACAGACACAAGATGAGATCATAAAAGATGATTTATTCTTTGATCACAAAAAAGCAAAAGGAGGTGAGAATCAATCGATGCAAATTGACAACGTCAACAAAGAGAATTGCAGAGTGTCTGTCCATGGCAGTGGGACAGTTAGCATGGATTCTCAGACAGCGGAATTACCTGTGAAAAAGCAGAGAAAGCAGAAAGAAAGTTTACAGATAAACCACAAGAAGAAGATGTAACTGTAATTGAGAACTGGGCAGTGGAAGGAACATGTGGGGCTATTTAACCAGTCGGCCGAGCGGGACTCTCTTCGATCTGGGTGGGCGTCATATGATGTCCTTGTCGGATCGCACCTCGGGGCCACGCTGTGGAGAGATCTGTCACCAGCCATGTACCTCGGACACAGCCAATGACAGATCTGTGTACCAGCCGGTTGCCAGTACCATGTGACCTGCTGTGATTGTGCTGTAAGCAATGAATGGCTTCCTTTCATGCCATCCATGGTATACAATTGTGTCACTGGCTGTGATTGGTCACAGTGATCACATGTACAGACTGGACCAATCACAGCCCATCTGTGTCATGTGATTTTCTGTAGCCAATTACAGCTAATCACAAAAAAAAACTGAATGAATCGAATTCATTCAGTTAAATGCTTGATGATAGCAAAAGAATCTCTTTGCTATAAGCAATCTTAATGTGTAAAAAAAAAAAAAGTCACCGATCACTTCCCCAAAGTAGTAATGTTTCTACTCTGGTCACACTTTTAAACAAATGTAATAAAAACATTTTAAAAAATGGTTATTATTTTTTTTCGTACTGTCACCAGTCAGTGTCCCCGATCACCGCCACTCCATTTATATGATGATGCTGTACCGCACTGGTGACTAGATGTTAAAAGAAAAACAAAATTGATGAAAATTATTTTTTATTAATTTCCCAATTTTCCAAAAAATTACAAAAAAAATGACAACTTCAAAAAACTTGGAATACCTCTTAGTAAATACCTCAGAATATCTACTTTGCAAAAAGGGGTCATTTGGAGTATATCTGTACTGTCCTGACATTTGGGGGATATCTGTACTGTCCTGACATTTGGGGGATATCTGTACTGTCCTGACATTTGGGGGGATATCTGTACTGTCCTGACATTTGGGGGATATCTGTACTGTCCTGACATTTGGGGGATATCTGTACTGTCCTGACATTTGGGGGGATATCTGTTCTGTCCTGACATTTGGAGGATATCTGTCCTGTCCTGACATTTGGGGGATATCTGTACTGTCCTGACATTTGGGGGATATCTGTACTGTCCTGACATTTGGAGGATATCTGTACTGTCCTGACATTTGGGGGTTATCTGTACTGTCCTGACATTTGGGGGTTATCTGTACTGTCCTGACATTTGGGGGATATCTGTACCGTTCTGACATTTGGGGGATCTGTTCTGTCCTGACATTTGGAGGATATCTATACCGTTCTGACATTTGGGGGATATCTGTACCGTCCTGACGTTTGGGGGATATCTGTCCTGACATTTGGGGGATATCTGTACCGTCCTGACGTTTGGGGGATATCTGTCCTGACATTTGGGGGATATCTGTCCTGTCCTGACATTTGGGGATATCTGTACTGTCCTGACATTTGGGGGGATATCTGTACTGTCCTAACATTTGGGGGATATCTGTACTGTCCTGACATTTGGGGGATGTCTGTACTATTCTGACATTTGGGGGATATCTGTTCTGCCCTGACATTTGGGGGATATCTGTACTGTCCTGACATTTGGGGGATATCTCTACTGTCCTGACATTTGGGGGATGTCTGTACTGTCCTGACATTTGGGGGATGTCTGTACTGACCTGACATTTGGGGGATATCGGTACTGTCCTGACATTTGGGGGATATCTGTACCGTCCTGACATTTGGGGGATATCTGTACGGCCCCGACATTTGGGGGATATCTGTACCATCCTTACATTTGGGGGATATCTGTACCATCCTTACATTTGGGGGATATCTGTACCGTCCTGACATTTGGGGGATATCTGTACCGTCCTGACATTTGGGGATATCTGTACCAACCTTACATTTGGGGGATATCTGTACCGTCCTGACATTTGGGGGATATCTGTACCAACCTTACATTTGGGGGATATCTGTACTGTTCTGACATTTTTGGACCTCAAGAAATTAGATTGGCCGTCAGTACTTCAGGTTTGATCGATTTTCAGACATACTCCATAGTTTGTGAACTCTATAACTTTCCTACAGACTAAATAATAAATACTGATTTGGGTTATTTTCACCAAATAAATGTAGAATACATCTTGGCCTAATTGTATGAAGAACAATTATATATCTGAAAAATTTTACAACAGAAACAAAGAAAAATGTGTTTTTTTTGCAACATTTTTTTTTTTTTTTTGTTAATTTACCAAAAGAAAGCTCTAGTTGTGTGAACCAAATTATATAAATGTAGTTTGGGTAGAGCATCGTCCTGACATTTGGGGGATATCTGTCCTGTCCTGACATTTGGGGATATCTGTACTGTCCTGACATTTGGGGGGATATCTGTACTGTCCTAACATTTGGGGGATATATGTACTGTCCTGACATTTGGGGGGTATCTGTACTGTTCTGACATTTGGGGGATATATGTACTGTCCTGACATTTGGGGGGTATCTGTACTGTTCTGACATTTGGGGATATCTGTACTGTCCTGACATTTGGGGGGATATCTGTACTGTCCTAACATTTGGGGGATATATGTACTGTCCTGACATTTGGGGGGTATCTGTACTGTTCAGACATTTGGGGGATATATGTACTGTCCTGACATTTGGGGGGTATCTGTACTGTTCTGACATTTGGGGGATATCTGTACTGTCCTAACATTTGGGGGATATATGTACTGTCCTGACATTTGGGGGGTATATGTACTGTCCTGACATTTGGGGGATATCTGTACTATTCTGACATTTGGGGGATATCTGTACTGTCCTGACATTTGGGGATATCTCTACTGTCCTGACATTTGGGGGATATCTGTTCTGTCCTGACATTTGGGGGATATCTGTACTGTCCTGACATTTGGGGGATATCTGTCCTGTCCTGACATTTGGGGGATATCTGTACTGTCCTGACATTTGGGGATATCTCTACTGTCCTGACATTTGGGGGATATCTGTACTGTCCTGACATTTGGGAATATCTGTACCGTCCTGACATTTGGGGGATGTCTGTACTATTCTGACATTTGGGGGATATCTGTACTGTCCTGACATTTGGGGGATATCTGTACTGTCCTGACATTTGGGGGATATCTGTACTGTCCTGACATTTGGGGGGGATATCTGTACTGTCCTGACATTTGGGGGATGTCTGTACTGACCTGACATTTGGGGGATGTCTGTACCGTCCTAACATTTGGGGGATGTCTGTACTGTCCTGACATTTGGGGGATATCTGTACTGTCATGACATTTGGGGGATATCTGTACTGTCCTGACATTTGGGGGATATCTGTACTGTCCTGACATTTGGGGGGATATCTGTTCTGTCCTGACATTTGGGGGATATCTGTACCGTCCTGACGTTTGGGGGATATCTGTCCTGAATTTTGGGGGATATCTGTCCTGTCCTGACATTTGGGGGATATCTGTACTGTCCTGACATTTGGGGGGATATCTGTACTGTCCTAACATTTGGGGGATAACTGTACTGTCCTGACATTTGGGGGATGTCTGTACTATTCTGACATTTGGGGGATATCTGTACTGTCCTGACATTTGGGGATATCTGTACTGTCCTGACATTTGGGGGATGTCTGTACTATTCTGACATTTGGGGGATATCTGTACTGTCCTGACATTTGAGGGATATCTGTACTGTCCTGACATTTGGGGGATATCTGTACTGTACCGTCCTGACATTGGGGGGATATCTGTACTGTCCTGACATTTGGGGGGATATCTGTTCTGCCCTGACATTTGGGGGATATCTGTACTTTCCTGACATTTGGGGGATATCTGTACCGTCCTGACATTTAAGGGATATCTGTACTGTCCTGACATTGGGGGGATATCTGTACTGTCCTGACATTTGGGGGGATATCTGTTCTGCCCTGACATTTGGAGGATATCTGTACTGTCCTGACATTTGGGGGGATATCTGTTCTGTCCTGACATTTGGAGGATATCTATACCGTTCTGACATTTGGGGGATATCTGTACCGTCCTGACGTTTGGGGGATATCTGTCCTGACATTTGGGGGATATCTGTCCTGTCCTGACATTTTGGGATATCTGTACTGTCCTGACATTTGGGGGGATATCTGTACTGTCCTAACATTTGGGGGATATCTGTACTGTCCTGACATTTGGGGGATGTCTGTACTATTCTGACATTTGGGGGATATATCTGTTCTGTCCTGACATTTGGGGGATATCTGTACTGTCCTGACATTTGGGGGATATCTGTACTGTCCTGACATTGGGGGGATGTCTGTACTGTCCTGACATTTGGGGGATGTCTGTACTGACCTGACATTTGGGGGATATCGGTACTGTCCTGACATTTGGGGGATATCTGTACCGTCCTGACATTTGGGGGATATCTGTACGGCCCCGACATTTGGGGGATATCTGTACCATCCTTACATTTGGGGGATATCTGTACCATCCTTACATTTGGGGGATATCTGTACCGTCCTGACATTTGGGGGATATCTGTACCGTCCTGACATTTGGGGGATATCTGTACCAACCTTACATTTGGGGGATATCTGTACTGTTCTGACATTTTTGGACCTCAAGAAATTAGATTGGCCGTCAGTACTTCAGGTTTGATCGATTTTCAGACATACTCCATAGTTTGTGAACTCTATAACTTTCCTACAGACTAAATAATAAATACTGATTTGGGTTATTTTCACCAAATAAATGTAGAATACATCTTGGCCTAATTGTATGAAGAACAATTATATATCTGAAAAATTTTACAACAGAAACAAAGAAAAATGTGTTTTTTTTGCAACATTTTTTTTTTTTTTTGTTAATTTACCAAAAGAAAGCTCTAGTTGTGTGAACCAAATTATATAAATGTAGTTTGGGTAGAGCATTGCATGACCGCACAATTTCCATTAAAGTGTGAGAGCGCTGAAAGCTGAAAATTGGCCTGGGCAGGAAGGGGGTAAAGATGAAGAAATGTCCTGCTTGCCACACTAAAAGAGTTTGATTTCATTTTTCTGTTCTCATTTCCAGGTTCACCGTTCCAGCCCTGTCCTGTACAGAGACCAGGAGAGAGAAGTATGATGGAAGAGGATACTGGGAGGAATAACACCAACCCAGGTGATAGGATTCAACATAACACCTCTGAGGAGGATGAATGGAGGACATGGAGGGGCGGGATTTAAGGAACAGGAACGGCTTATGGTGTGTAAGGAGGCCATTAATGGTCAAGAGTAATCTAATAAATATGAGGGGTGACATTGCTAATGGGGCTGGTGATGAGTTCTGTCTTTGTGGATGGAGATTCAGAGGGACTAAACAAAGGGAATGCAGGCAAGGTGCCCAGTTGGACATGTTGTTTTCTGTCTTCCACTGACAATACATGTTGTTTTCTAATCATTGGTCCTTTACACAAGGGAGGTGCCAAGGGCGATACAGCAGGGCCTTTATGAGAGGACTTCTCATCCCCCTGAGTATCTTGGAGAGAGCAGTCTAACAGAGCAGTCTCTCTTGGGGTCTACACAAAACTGTGACATGTTGTTGAGTAGAGGCGCCATCTTGAGCTTCTGCCCTGTAAGAGTCCAGGAATATTTAGGCTGTGCAGAGCCATTCTGGTGGTGGAAGGTTGAACCCCTGGCCACTGGTCATGAGGTAGAGGGCTTCAGTTGCTTTGGGTTGGTGATCTAGTGTGGGTCCCAGTCAAAGGTCCAAGCTCAAGCAGCCATACAGGTAGGCTGTGCCCCGTGGCCCTTTTTTAAAATAGGCACTCCATTTTCTTCTATTCCAGTCCATTGCTACCAATTTGCTCTCTTGCTCTGCAGTCTTGCCCATTTTTTTTGTCAATATCTATACTAAAAGCCTCCTCCAGCATTTTAAATATTATTTCCCCCATCATATCTTTTGGTGGATAAAGCATACAGAGACAGGTCACAGGTACAGATTGGAGTGTTCTCTCCATAGAGATTGAAGCATAGGTTGCTGCGACGTACATTGCTTTAGAGCTAACAGATAAACCAAAAGATGAAGATTTAATAAGAATTGGGCAGCGGAAGGAACATGTGAAATGCCTCACGTGGAACACTAAGTTATCTTGGTTTCTTCTGTCCTCCTTCCTAGGCTCACCATTCCAGCCATGTCCTGTACAGATCCCAAGAGAGAGAAGTATGATGAAAGAGGAAAGTGGGGATGAATAACACCAGCTCAGGTACTCCTCTCTGGGGAGGATGAATGAAGGACATAGGAGGGAGAGGAATTATAGGGATAAGAAAGGCATATGTGGTGCGTCAGCTCATAGTAGGATCTAGTAGAAAGGCTCATAGTAGGATACAGTGAAGGAAATGGGTATTTGTTCATCTGCTGATGTTGAATGTTCGCCCCTCACAAAGAAATGTCTAATAATGGAATGTTCGGTTTATTGTAACACAGAGAGACAGAATAGCAACAGCAAATTCAGCAGAAATGCGTCTAACAAATGATGACTGATCTGCATGTTCATGAGGGAAATAAGGATTTGATCCCCTTCACAAAACATGACTTAGTACTTGGTGACCAATCCCTTGTTGGCAATCACAGAGGTCAGATGTTTCCTGTAGTTGGCCATCAGGTTTGCACACATCTCAGGAGGGATTTTGGCCCACTCCTTTTGGCAGATCTTCTGAAAGTCATTAAGGTTTGGTGGCTGACGTTTGGCAGCTCGAACTTTCAGCCCCTCCAGAGATTTTCCATCAGATGAAGGTGTGGAGACTGGCTAGGCCACTCCAGGACCTTAATGTGCTTCTTCTTGAGCCGCTCCTTTGTTGCCTTGGCCGTGTGTTTTGGGTCATTTTCATGCTGGAACACCCATCCACCACCCATTTTCAATGCCCTGGCTGAGGGAAGAAGGTTCTCACCCAAGATTTGATGGCACATTGCCCCGTCCATCGTCCCTTTGATGTGGTGCAGTTTTCCTATTAATAGTTTTTTTAAGTTTTATTATTTTTACAGGATGATAAAGTTCATCCTATTACCCAGAATCCTTCTCTCTCACAATGTGAACACGGCCTTTGAGCTATGGTGGCATCTCAGGTGCTTTAAAATGCAGGGAAGAAAACCCAAATAGCTGTGTTGGCTTTAAAGGGAAAGATCGAGAGGCCACATTCTACATCCAAAACCTTTTATAGAGTGTGGAAGAGTTGAGACTCTTCCTGAGTTTCTGTTGCTTTCTTTGTTGGTATTACTACTTTTATTATTACATTGTTAACAATGTTAAGGATGCAGGCATCCATGAATCTTGACAACCAGTAATGTCACCAGCCCCATTCACTTGCATGGCTGGGAATACCTGGCCACATAAGCAAAGGGATGGGATGGTGGTGACATTGCTGACCAAATATGGCCATGTCTATATTTGGGTAATGATGTCATCACATCCCTTTACCCTTGTATGTAAACCCAATGACAGTTCCAGAGAACTGTTATTAGTGCCAGGAGTACAAGACAAGTGGATGTGACAACATTTCAACAGATATCTGGGGGTTTATCTTAAAGTGGGCTTCCAGATTCCAGGGTTCCGAGGAAGAGGCCCTTTGTCATCGTCAGGACTCAGAGACCAGTAGCTATAACAGTAAAGAGGCTCCAACCAATCAGCTGAATAAATACACAATCAGGTCACCACGGTGGATGACAAGGGCTCATCTGAAGTGCAGGGTCTGAGCAGTAACCAGTATTCACCAGAGCCCCTGATGGTGGAGATGAGTTTTGCTGCATTCTAGTACCAGGTCGTGGTCCTCAGTATCACCTCACATAGAGGTGTGCAAGCCGGGGTCCAGTAGCAGATATAGCAGGGAGGGATCAGAAGCATAGTCAGTAAGCAAGCCAAAGGTCGGTACCAAGTGGTTGCAGGTTGGGAACAAGCAGAGGTGTAGTTGAGGAACAAGTCAAACTCTGGTAAGAAGTGGTTGCAGGTTGGGATCAAGTAGAAGCTTAGTTGAGGAACAAACCAAAGGTCAGTAATGAGTGATAGTGATAGTGAAGATACGGATGGCAGCAGGAGTGACAAGAGTGAGGTATTGGCTGGAGAAGAGCACAATAATCTGGCGAAACGGAAGTGCAAAG